ACCCTGTTGGTGGTTGTGGGGCGCACCCTGTTGGTGGTTGTGGGGCGCACCCTGTTGGTGGTTGTGGGGCGCACCCTGTTGGTGGTTGTGGGGCGCACCCTGTTGGTGGTTGTGGGGCGCACCCTGTTGGTGGTTGTGGGGCGCACCCTGTTGGTGGTTGTGGGGCGCACCCTGTTGGTGGTTGTGGGGCGCACCCTGTTGGTGGTTGGCTCACCTGTTGGTGGTTGTGGGGCGCACCCTGTTGGTGGTTGGTGGTTGTGGGGCGCACCCTGTTGGTGGTTGTGGGGCGCACCCTGTTGGTGGTTGTGGGGCGCACCCTGTTGGTGGTTGTGGGGCGCACCCTGTTGGTGGTTGTGGGGCGCACCCTGTTGGTGGTTGTGGGGCGCACCCTGTTGGTGGTTGTGGGGCGCACCCTGTTGGTGGTTGGTGGTTGTGGGGCGCACCCTGTTGGTGGTTGGTGGTTGTGGGGCGCACCCTGTTGGTGGTTGGTGGTTGTGGGGCGCACCCTGTTGGTGGTTGGTGGTTGTGGGGCGCACCGTGTTGGTGGTTGGTGGTTGTGGGGCGCACCCTGTTGGTGGTTGGCCCTCATCTGCCAAAACACCTCTTTCATCTCCTCCACCATGCTTCCCTGCAGTGGCGGACGTGGTAATATCGAAAGCAACACAATGGCAAGGAAATGCAAGTGATTTCAGCCAGACACACCTGAGCCAGGTACCATGGCAACAGAGACACACCTGAGCCAGGCACCATGGCAACAGAGACACACCTGAGCCAGGTACCATGGCAACAGAGACACACCTGAGCCAGGTACCATGGCAACGGAGACACACCTGAGCCAAGTACCATGGCAACAGAGACACACCTCAGCCAGGTACCATGGCAACAGAGACACACCTGAGCCAGGTACCATGGCAACGGAGACACACCTGAGTCAGGTACCAGAGCAACAGAGACACACCTGAGCCAGTAACCATAGCAACAGAGACACACCTGAGCCAGGTACCAGAGCAACAGAGACTCACCTGAGCCAGGTACCAGAGCAACAGAGTCTCACCTGAGCGAGGTACTAGAGGAACAGAGACTCACCTGAGCGAGGTATTAGAGCAACAGAGACTCACCTGAGCGAGGTACTTGAGGGGCAGTTCAAACGACTCGGCATGCAGGCGGTAGCGCATCTTCACCAGATGCAGCAGCGTGCGCTGCATGCGCTCAAACACACCCCGCCTGCGCTCTGCACTCCGCTGCCTCCCCCCGCGCTGCCCCTCCGCTCCTCCATCATCCCCACCTCTCCTCCTCCACCCTGCAACCTTTTCCTCCTGCTGCCCCCACTCTTGCTGCCCCCACTCTTGCTGCCCCTGCTCGTGCTTCCCTGCCACCCGCTGCCTTGCTTCGATCCGCATCCCCTGCAGCTCTTGCTGCTCCCCAGCCTCCTCCTGCCGCTCAAGCACCACGTGCTGCTGCATGCTGTCGTCTTGGCGGTGCAGGGATGTGAGGGCGTGGGCGCCATAGGCATCCATGAGGGCGTGGAAGGTATGTACGTTGGGTGCAGTGCGATACCCCATCTGCATGTTCTCAAACACCGCCTCCATCTCTGATAACAAGCCAGCTCTGTGTGGGAAAGAGGGAGGGAGAGAAGGACAGGAGGGAGAGAAGCACAGTAGGGAAGAGAGGCACGGTATGGCACAAGCCCCAAAGGTGTGAGAGCGTTGGGTGCAGTGCGGTACCCCATCTGCATGTTCTCAAACACTGCTTGCATCTCTAAAAGCAGACCCGCCCAGGGTGTGCGAGAGAGGGAGGGAGAGAGAAGGGGGCAGAAGTAGGGTCAGCCTTGCGCTTGCTTTACGGAGCACCAAAGCACCAACCCCCAAAGTGCCCCACATTTCATCATCCCACCCACGAATTTCCCACCTGCCGAAGCCTCTGATGAGCCCATTGAACATGACAGAGACATTCCCTGCACCTGCACCCACCCGTCCCACCCGCCCCACCCAACCCACCAGCACCCACCCGCCCCAACCCCTCACCCGCCCCACCTGCTTGCCCACCACGGCCAGTACACAACCTCTCGCACTCCATCCTCCCACTCTCGCCCCCCCCCTCAGCTGAAGAAGCCTCTAATGAACCCAGTGAGTGTGCACACTTGTGGCCTCAACCACACGCTGGTCACCTCGTCAAACTTGTTGCACACACACACATCAACTGCAGCTGCCCTGCTGTTCTGCTGGAGAACTTGTTGCGCAACCGCCCCGCTGTCCGCTGTGCAACAAGTTCACACACACCAACTGCAGCTGCCCCGCTGCCCGCACGCGTGTACCGCAACTTACCTTCTTAACCAGCCCCCCGTCAACAGCACACCCCCCTCTCTTAACCCATATGTACACCTGCCAAACCCCCTGATAAGCCCGTTAAATATGCGCACGTCTGGTCTGAGCCCCACGCTGGTGAGTTCAAAGAACTTGTCTCGCATCAGTCGCAGCTGCCCCGCACTCCCCCCCTCCTATGCCTGCCCACACACACGTGTCTCTCAACATCCCCTCTCAATCAATCGCTCTCAACCACCCCTCACCTGCCGAAACCTCGGATGAGTCCATTGAATGTGCGCACATCGGGCCTCAACCCCACGCTGGTGAGCTCAAAGAACTTGTCTCGCATCAGCTGCAGCTGCCCCGCTCCCCCGTACGCGTCAATCAGGGCGTTGAAGGGCGTGGCGTCGGGCAGCACGCCCCTGTGCGCCATGTCCGCTAGAAGATCCTCTGCCTCCGTGGTGCGGCCCACTAAGCACAGTGCCTTCACTGCCGACCTGCGACCAGGGGTGAGTAAAGAGGGGAGCAACATGGGGAGTGGCGTCGGGCAGCACGCCCCTGTGCGCCATGTCCGCTAGAAGATCCTCTGCCTCCGTGGTGCGGCCCACTAAGCACAGTGCCTTCACTGCCGACCTGCGACCAGGGGTGAGTAAAGAGGGGAGCAACATGGGGAGTGGCGTCGGGCAGCACGCCCCTGTGCGCCATGTCCGCTAGAAGATCCTCTGCCTCCGTGGTGCGCCCCACTAAGCACAGTGCCTTCACTGCCGACCTGCGACCAGGGGTGAGTAAAGAGGGGAGCAACATGGGGAGTGGCGTCGGGCAGCACGCCCCTGTGCGCCATGTCCGCTAGAAGATCCTCTGCCTCCGTGGTGCGGCCCACTAAGCACAGTGCCTTCACTGCCGACCTGCGACCAGGGGTGAGTAAAGAGGGGAGCAACATGGGGAGTGGCGTCGGGCAGCACGCCCCTGTGCGCCATGTCCGCTAGAAGATCCTCTGCCTCCGTGGTGCGGCCCACTAAGCACAGTGCCTTCACTGCCGACCTGCGACCAGGGGTGAGTAAAGAGGGGAGCAACATGGGGAGTGGCGTCGGGCAGCACGCCCCTGTGCGCCATGTCCGCTAGAAGATCCTCTGCCTCCGTGGTGCGGCCTATCAGGCATAGTGCCTTCACTGCCGACCTGGGAATATGCACGCGCGGTGAAGCAGGGGGAGGGCGGGAAAGAGGGGGGCGTTAAAGGGCGTGGAGTCTGGCAGCACGCCCCTGTGCGTCATGTCCGCTAGAAGGTCTGCGGCCTTTGTTGTGTGGCCTACCAGACAGAGAGCTTTCACTGCCACCCTGAGGCGAGGAATTCGGAGCAGAGGGGCACTGGAACGGATGGCATGGCATGGCGTGGCATGGCGTGGCACGACAAGGCATGGCACAGAATGGCGATGTGGCATGACATGGCATGGCATGGCATAGCATGGCATAGCATGGCATAGCATGGCATGGCATGGCATGGCATGACAAGGCACGGGATAGCACGGCACGGCACAGCATGGCATGGGATGGCTTGGAGTGGCATGGCATGGCCTGTGAATTCTAACATAACTTCTCGAAGCTGACTCACCCATAAGCCGCAGCATCTGGAGCACAGCCGGGGGTGGCCTTCATCTGGTGCAGCAGCGCAAGGGCAGCCGTGGCCTGGTGGCGGCGCCCATACGCCTCGATCATCGCTGCATACACCGACGGCGTGCGCACACACGCCTTCAACCGCGGTAACTGCGCCAACGCTGCTGCCGACGCTGTTGCCGCTGTTCCTTCGGCCCCTCCTGCCCCTCCTGATCCTCCTCCAACTCGGTTTCCTCCCCCTGCTCCTCGCGCTGCTGCTGCTAAAGAACCTTTTGACGCTGCTGCTGCTAAAGAACCTTTTGGCGCTGCTCCAGCAGCAGCAGCTTTCTTCTTGAGTCGCCTCCGCCGCCCCTTGCTCGTGCCCCACCGGTCGCCATCCGGATCATCCTCATCCTCGTCATCATACCCTGGGTTTCGTGCCAGCTCATCGTCCGACCCATCCTCGTCATCACCACTAAAATCATCGTCATCACTGCCAGAATCCCAACTATTCCCCCTCACACCATTCCTCACATCCTCCCTCACACCACCCCTCCCAGCCGCTCCCCCACCCCCCCCTGAGCCCACCAGCATAGCCATTCCCCCAGTGAGGGGCACAGCAGGGCCGCCATCCATGGAGGCGAAGAGTGCAGCAGCAGTGTCAGTCCGCGAGTTCCGCGCCAGCACCTCAATCATCCGCGCATACAGCATCGGATCCGGCTCGAACCAGTGGGCGGTTCGGATGCACTCAAACGCCTCGATCGTACGGTCCACGTCGTTCCGGCGCATGAGCTCGTTCAGAGCGCCTAAAACGCACTCGGGGCCAAAGCACTTGGCATATTTCCGCAGCACGTGCCGCACCTTTCGCTCCCCCCCAGGCTCTAGCTTCCCCAGCTGCACCATCACCACGCCTATCTCCTTTGCGAGGGTTTCCTCGGTTTTCTTCCCGCGCAGCCGCCGCGCCAAGGGGTGTTTCGGCGGAGTCTTCCCCGGCGCTGTGCCCCTCCCCGCTCCGCCGATGCCGGTTCCGCCAGCGGCTCCTGTTGCTCCGCCAGCCGCCCGCGCGCCAGCCGATCGCGGGCCTCCGCTTGGGCCCCCTGTGCTCATCGAGGCTGCGCCGATGGGTTCCGCCGCGCTGTAGTCCCCCCAGCCGTCCGCGCTCGCTCGATTACCGACGGGAGGGCGGCGCGACGAGGGGAAACGCGATGAAGCCTCATCCTGTGAATAGCGTGATCCGCGTGAATCCCCTGAATTCCGTAAATCGCGGACGGAGTAAGTGTCCAACAAACGCGATGGACTGGCCTCAGTCCGCCGCGCCCTTCCGGGGCGCCATGATTCCCGCTCCTCGTCATCAGTTCCTCCCCTTCCGCCTCCCCTCAGGTCTCCGCCGATCCCCTGGCCTCTCACCTCTCCTCTACCCTCTCCCCTCCCCTCCCCACTCCCCCATCTTCTCTCCCCTCCCATTTCGCGGACTCTTCCCTCGTACCGCTCTGTCTGATCCCCGCGCCATTCCCGCCGCTGCGCATGATCCCCGCCGCGCCAGTCACCCCTCCGCACGCTCCCCCCGTCCCCTGCTCCCCGGTTTCCCCCGAACGACGCTGTTACTGTTACCACCCTTCGGTTGTCTTCGCAGAGTCGGAGTTCGCGAATTCGGAGTGTTTTCCAGCGACGAGGGAAAAATGCGGGCGGGGGAGCGCGAAGCGGGAGGACGAGCGGGGAGGAGTGGCCGCGGAAGGGCAAGGCGGAATGCGCGGAGGTGGAATTCCCGAGAAGACAAGTCAAGGAGGTCATGTCACGTGGTACGATCTCCTTGATACGATACGATACGATACGATACGGAAGCAGCTCCCTATCTAGGTCAACAACTCCCTAGTCTCCAGTTGCGGTAGGGACGGACAGATACGATGGTTCCTCCTGAGATGTAATGCGCGCCCGCTAGGACGACGGACGGCTGTGCTTCAAATTATGGTTTGTGTGAGGGATAAAGCTGGTCCTGAGTCAGAACGCTTCCCAAGCTTGTTGCGGACTCCAGTCCAGACCAGAGTTTGCTCCCTTCATAACATCTGCTCTACAGCGCGCTCCGTCAAGAGGCACAGTCAGGGTGCACTATACGGAAAGGTATGGACATTATATGAATATAATGCTGCACTATGCAATTAAATCCACGTGTTCTTATGTTTGGGGGTAACCCTGCCTCATGTTTATACGACTATAGTTACGGAAAGTGTATACGCGTTACAAAAGTCTGCACACTCTCTTCTCCCATATTGACTTCACCATGATGTTACCGTAAAGCGCCCATAGATACCTAGCTGAGTTGGAAAGGACCATCACCACAAGCACGAAAGCTCAAGTCAAAATCCAATTTACAGTATTTCTACTCGTGGTCAGGCGGTAGGCCGACCGGAAGCTTTTCAGAATCAAACGAGCCGATCCTACCCGCTTCAAGTGCGCGTCGCCGATTGAGGGTCGTGCGTGTCTGCTCTCGCTGTGCCATCGAGCCAAGAAACGAATCTTTCCAGGTGCGGATGGCTTGGAATAGGCGCTTTCGTCTGTAGTGCAATCGTCGATCGAACCGCGCCCTCCCCTTGGCGCCACGCGCTGCTTATTCAGTCGCGCCCGTCTTGACCCGTCGTTTTTGGGGAATTACGTACTTAAATCGATCTCTTTCTCGCCCCTCGCCCTTCGCCCCTCGCCCTCGCCCTTCCTCGCCTCAGTCGCCCCTCCATACCCTCTGTACCTCACCCTTTGCCGTTCGCGCGTGCGTCTCTCTCGCCGGCTACAGTGCCTTGTCGCATCCATCGCAGCACACGCGTACTCCATCTCGTTCCCTCTCCCTACCCTCAACCCCCTCCCCGCAACCCTCAGTCTCTCTACCCCTTACCCTCAACCACCCCCCTATACCCTCCACTCCCCTGTTCGCGATCCCGATCTCTCTCCCCATCGCCCGCTCGCTGCCCCGTGCTCCTGTGCGTGCTTTGAGGCGCCTCACACCACTCTCTTTCCCTGGCCCGTCACTCCCCAGCTCGTCACACCCCCTCCTCGTCAAGCCCCCCCTCTCCCCCCTCCCCCCCCGGCACGTCACACACCCCGCGCGTCACACCCCCCGCCATCCGCACTATTTGCGCCAGGCCCCGCCCCTCTCGCCTCTCGCCTCTCGCTTCTCGTCCCTCCCCACTCCTCCCATCCGCACTCTCCGTACTCCTGTTCTTTCCTCGTTACATCATTACTCGTACGTTCCTTCCCCCCATGCTTCCCCAGTTTGCTCCCTCCTCTCGCCTGTCCTCGCCCCCCCACTTCCCTCCGCTACTCCCCTCTGCTCCTCCCCTTTCTTCTACCTCCCCCCATCCCCTCTCCCTCTCCCCACTCCCTCCAATCCTCATGTCAATCCGCTCCCCACACACAGCAAGGGAATTTCATCTTGGCCGTCCATCCTGATCATCACCTCATCTCAGTCGTCTAGCCCTTCCCACCTGTCAGCCCTGAGCTTGAGCGACTTGTGCTGCTTCGACTGTCCGCCAGGCGCTGCTGCTGCTTCTTCTGCAGCGAATGGCGAAGAAGACGAGCAAGCGTGCTGCAGCGCCCGCAGATGCTGCCAAGGTGTGCCGCCCACCGATCCTGACCAACCGCTTAAAGCTCCTTCTCGTTCTAGCAGTATTATAGCAATGCTGCCTGGCTTGGTTGGACGAGCAAACGAGAGTAGCTTTTCGGTTAGGCGAGCCGAGATGAGCTGGTGTAAAATAGCTGCGATGAGGTTTTGTAACAGTTTAATCAACAGGGTTTCCCCTTGTAGCTGACAAGTGAGCTCGGTGATCTCGTAATATGTGGTCAACGTGTGATATAACTGGCGAGAATTTGTTCATGCACGTGTGATGAAGACTCTTATGATTGAATGTTCAATCAAATTAGCACCTCAATGTGATCAACCCACCTCAATGTGATCAACCCACCTCAATGTGATCAACCCACCCAACCCACCCAACCCACCCAACCCATCCAACCCACCCAACCCACCACCCTCTTACCCCCTACCCCCCCCCCTCTCCTCTTCCCCCCCCATCCTTCCCCTCTCCGACTTTCTGTTTTTTTTTTATATGTGGTGATTAGCAGGGCTCAGCTGCTGAGGCTGCTAATAAGTCGGCTGCGCTTGCATCAACGCCTGTGGAAGGGAGGGAGGCGGACAATGAAGGGGCGGAAGAAGAAGGGTACGCCCTTCCCCCCCCCCCCCCCCCTTGCTCTCCTTAAAAAAAATCGATTTTGTCTACTAGCTTCTGTCACTCTTCCCGTCCCACCACCCCCCTCCCCCTCCTTTTCCCAACCTCCCCTTCCCTGTTTCCTTCCTCACCTCCGTGTCTCAATCGATGTTCTTCTGTTCCAGCAGCTTACCCTTTCTTGTCCTCGAACCCAATCCTACTGGAACTGCTGGTAACGTCTGGCAGGGCACAGCAGGCGACGGAGAGCAGGCGAGTGCAGAAGAGATCTACCAAGCAGATGCGGCTCTTCACTTCTCATCCACTCCCCCCCTCGTCTCTCTCTTTTCGCTCCAACCTTTCCCATGTGGGACTGGCCTCTGCTGACAGGGTTCAGCAGGCGACAGAGAGCAGGCGAGTGCAGAAGAGGGCTGCCAAGCAGACGAGGCTCATGGACAGTGAGTGTAGCGGGTGTGTGTGACTATAGCAGGGATGATGTGTAGTTTGTGTACTTTTAGCGTCATTGATTCATCGTTCATGCGGTTATAGCAAGTGTACGTGTTTGGTATCGTTGTTCATTATCCCTCTCCTCCCTCCTGCCCTCTCCAATGCTGTGCGACAGATTTGAGGCGAACGCAGCAGACTCTCTTTGCTGCTGCTAAACTCTGCGGGCAGTTAAAAAAAGTTAGCCATCTTTGTTTCTCCTTCCCTCTTTGATGTTGTTCGCCAGATTTGAGGCGAACTCAGACTCTCATTGCTGCTGCGAGGGGAGACTCAAAGGTGCGTCTACACATGCAAGCGCCGTTGTGAGCATGCAAGCATTGTGTGAGCATGCAAGCATTGTGTGAGCATGCAAGCATTGTGTGAGCATGCAAGCATTGTGTGAGCATGCAAGCATTGTGTGAGCATGCAAGCATTGTGTGAGCATGCAAGCATTGTGTGAGCATGCAAGCATTGTGTGAGCATGCAAGCATTGTGTGAGCATGCAAGCATTGTGTGAGCATGCAAGCATTGTGTGAGCATGCAAGCATTGTGTGAGCATGCAAGCATTGTGTGAGCATGCAAGCATTGTGTGAGCATGCAAGCATTGTGTGAGCATGCAAGCATTGTGTGAGCATGCAAGCATTGTGTGAGCATGCAAGCATTGTGTGAGCATGCAAGCATTGTGTGAGCATGCAAGCATTGTGTGAGCATGCAAGCATTGTGTGAGCATGCAAGCATTGTGTGAGCATGCAAGCATTGTGTGAGTATGCAAGCATTGTGTGAGCATGCAAGCACCGTTGTGAGCATGCAAGCATTCTTCTCACGTGCTCACCTTCAAATCGCACGCCCTGAAGCACACACGCAATGCTCTCCCCCCCTCCCCCCGCTCTCAGAAGAGGAAGCTCCAGCCTCTCGTCTTGAGACACCCTCGCTTCATCCCTCCCTGTAGGAAACCCTGCCAGCCAGTATGCTCACTCTCCCACTGTGGTCGACCCCACTCCCTCCAATAGAAGGGAGCGGTGCCCAGCCTCCCAACGAGCCTCCCAACGAGCCTCCCAACGAGCCTCACACTCGACACCCTCGCATCATCGCTGGGGGACCCCCTTTCCTGTGCTCTCACTCGCTCACTGTGTGCCTGTCCCAATCCCAACAGACCAAGAAGGCATCTAAGAAGAAGAAGAAAGGAGCAGTCTCCAACCTCACAACGAGCCTCACGTTGGACACACTCGCATCATCGCTGGGGGACGCCCTGCCAGATGCACTGGCTCTCACTGTAGTTCCCCCCGCCCCCCTCCCCTTCCCCCCAACAGACCAAGAAGGCATCTAAGAAGAAGAAGAAAGGAGCAGTGTCCAATTTGCCAACCAGCCTCACACTGGACACACTCGCATCATCGCTGGGGGACGCCCTGCCGGACGCACTGGCTCTGGGCAAGG